TTAAAAGTGTGTCTTAACTTGTTAATCAAGAGGGAAACATTTATTGAATTGAAAGCCTTTGAAATATCAAGAGATATCAAAACATTAACTTTGCCTTCGTTAAGATTCAAACGGATTAAATATGTGGCTCACAATAGTAAATGTATAGTACTGTGACCCCGTCTGAAGGCATATTGTGTATCACAAATTAAACTGCATGTATGTTCTAATATTTGGTTTTTTAAAATAACTTCTACGATTTTCGAAATGGCTGGAAGTATTGATAGCGGGCGGAGGTCTTCCGGACCCTGAACATTTTTTGATTTTGGAATGGGCACAACACGCGCAGTTTTCCAATCTTGTGGAAATGAAGAACTAGTTAAAATGTAGTTCACGAAATGTAGAACCAAGTCAGAAATATATGAAAAAACCAATTTAAGAAAGTATATTGGAATTTCATCAACACCAACCGACTTGCATTTGATCTTGCTCAGGACTTCACGAACCTCAATTTCCGAAACACAGCGAAAGGAAAAGGACGAATCTGTGTCAGTAAATTGCGAGAAGTCAACTTCATTATCCTGCACAGAATTATTTAGAGCAAACAAATTATTAATGTTATTGACATCAATGTCAATTGCAGCATTATCGGATTCTACACATCAATATTTTGCATATTCCAGCAGAATTTGCATTACCTAAGAGTTTAGAGAAAATTTTCATTTGGCCCTACGCATTACGGTCCTAGCCCTATTCCGATATCTGCGGTAAGTGTACCAATTTTCTTGACATCTGTTATGTTGTAGGCAGAAAAAGCTAAATCCCTAGCCGATCTAGCAAAATCTACATCCATTGCTTCAAGCCAGCGGTCTGAATTAACATTAATTTTCTTTCGCACAACCGGAACGCAAATATATGCAAGCAGATTTGTTAGAAATTCACATTTCATGTTTACATGTACTGAACTATAAAAAGCATAGCTATCAAACTCACTCAAGAGAGTAAACAAATGATCCCAATCGACTGTATTATATTTTCGAAAAACTATGAATTTGGACGGAGAATAAACATTGAAAATAAGGCATGCAAAGATGAGGGCATGATCTGAAACAGACAGACATTGAACTTGGCCAGAAAAATGTTTGAAAGAAGCATCACTTACTAACATAAAATCTATAAGCGATGTCGACCTTCTGGCTAAATCAAAATGCGATGGCTTTGAGTTATGAATTATCGACATATTGTATCTGGCGCAAAACGAGCGACAAATGTTTGCTTTGGAAACATCAAATAAGTTAATGTTGAAATCACCTAAAACGACTATATTTGAATATTTGGAAAACATTTCTCTATGATTGACTTCAAAATGGTGTAAACAACCCGTAGACAAGTAAACAACACCAAACAAGACTTTAACATGTTCAAATACCAATTCAATAAATATTGATTCACATCCAGCCAATGAGATTTGAAAAACAGTTTTAAACTGTAGTCCATTTTGTACAAATATCGCAACACCTCCACCTCTGCCAGGGAATTGTCGATCGTTACGATATATTCTATATCCAGGGATGGAAATTGCATTATTACAAACTTCAGGAGTAAGCCAAGTCTCTGATACAGCAAATAAGTGCAATGCGCTATCTACAATTATACGCCCTAACTCCTCAATCTTTAGCTGGGCCTTTATACTACGGCAATTCAATAAACAGCTTTTAACTCGTTACTGCCTTTTAACTTGTTAATTCTTATTTAATTTAAAAATCTAAGAGAACACACTAAATACATATTTTCTTTCTTTTTTGATATGATGCCATAGAGCCCTACCCTTAGCTTTTAGACCGGGGGCATTTCCAGAATATTTACAGACTCCGTCGTGTTGTTAGGTATTCAAAACAATTTCACACGAAAGTTGTGGTCCTTTTTACAGCTAAAAATAATTCAATGAATCATTCATCCAAAGGGTATTATGTCTCAACACATAGTGTTGCATTTCATATTTAATTATTGTACCTATTTTGCTATATATCCGATATCTTATCTATTGGCATCACTGTAATGGTCAGAAGTGGTGGTTCGTGGTTTAGTGGAAATTTTCTTACTTTTCTAATTTAAAAATTAGGGTTTATTTAGTCCGATTACCATCCATTTTGTCAATTTTTTACCCTAAAAACTTTGCTATCATATTCAAAAACAATTAGCATCTATTCTGGCCCGGTGACGTCGCTTCTATGCCTTAATACCATTTTTGAATCGAAGCGACGACAAAGACGACTTGCACATAACGTCGACGACGAAGTTCGGAAGTTATAGTTAAATTATCGATTTTTAGACCCGGACTTTTTATAAAACCCCCAAAAAGTCGAAGAAGGGTCTATTATGGGGGTCGATGCCAAATTATAGCTTACACTCTTTCCTTTCAAAATACTAAAATTTGTGCTCATACCTTTTCTGGGCCCAGAGTTATTCTCTTCTGGGTATGTTCAACCGGCTACGCGGAGTATTTTTCTAAATTAACCAGTTGTTGTAAATAGTCGGCCTCCGGTGGTCATGTGACCACTAGTTGGATATATTGCCTATATCGCGTAAGTGGATCCGGGTTTTGAACCCGGACTTTCGAGTCAAGAAAAAAATAGTTTCCCGGAATCAGGGTACAAAGACCTACCTCTGGAAAAAAAAAAAAAGAAAAGTTGTTCCAATTGGCCACAGTATTAAGGTTTTTATGCCCTCAGTCATATGGCTGGTGAGGGTATATATCATTTGATTTGATACGGCCAAAACGTGCCTTATCGAAATAACGGTTTTAGACCCTAGGTTTCTTTTGACCAAATCCGTTTTAGGACATTTGGAGTCGATCTAGCGATGTCCGTACGTCCGTCTGTCTGGTTGGTGCTCACGATAACACTCGCTGTGAGTGCCCGATTTGAACCAATGGCACATCGTAATAATATTGTCAAACACAAAATAAATGTTGACATTTTGTGTGGGAGGTACCAGTAGGAGAGGACTGATATTGTCCATCTCCGAACTCGATATAAGTTTCAAAGAATATAATTTACTGCGCAGAAAGAGAAAGGATAATTCGATTTTGCTTCCCTTTTGAGAATCCTAATATTGGAATCAGTGCTAGGTCAGGTACGAAAAGTACCTCCATAAACACAAGATCTGTCAGAAAGATGGAGATCGGGCCATTCTTTCTGGTAACTCACAAAGGGTCGAAATTTTGAATAATCAAAACAATATAAAATCCGAAATAAGCATCAGGTTGTCTTTATATTTCACACATTCCATTATTTCTACTAACACAAGAACTGTTGTTAAGAGGGGATATATCGGTCCTCTCCTTCTGGTACCTCCCCCACAAAGGGTTACAAATTTGAGAATTCATGAAGCTAAAAAACGCGAATTTAACATCCGATTCCATTCAGACTTGGTACATCTCAATATTTCACTCAACACAAGATCTCTTATAGAGATGATACAGATCGGACTATTTCTTTTGGTACCTGCCCTACATAGGGTTCAAGGTTTTTGAAAAACAAAACGCTTAAAGAAAAATAAGCATCTAACACTCTTAAAATTTCACACAGTCAAATATTTTTCCTAAAGCAAAATATGTTGTGAAGATGATATTTATCTGCCAACGCCTTCTGGTACCTCAACCATAAAGGGTCAATAGAAATCTGATATGAATATTTATTTATCGAAAATTATGATGTATATATTTGGATATAAATGTTTGATTTTCTTCAAATTTTGCACATACAATATTTTTATTTGTATAAGATGAAGTGTGAAAACGGAATACTTCGGTCCGCTAAAAACGACTTCACAATGATAAAAGCAATCATTCGTCGCCATAGACTAAAAACTCCAATCCTAATACCGTTATTGTCGCCTCGACTTCATTTTGCGGCGACGATAACGGTAATAGGGCCGAATATTGTTTTTTTTCAACGTAGCGTATACAAATATTCAACGCAGCTGCTGGTACAAAGAACTGTTCAACTAATTTTAGAATTGAAATGTTTGAATCAAAAACTATTCACACTTGTTAAAATTATTGAGAAATACATCTCATACAATAAAACATATTAAAATCAAATTATTTTTAAGCAAATATTTATGCCTCTACCTGTTTTAAAATTATTGCGCCATGAACAATACGAAAAAACCAGTCCCGTTATCCGCCGGTACTGCCATAAGTGGGCATAAAAATGTCAAGCTTATGAGTTGGGCGGATTTTTTTATATTTGTCCTTTTCTGTTTCTATATCCTCCACCATGGAAAGGAGGGCATATAAATTGTTTCATTCCGTTGGTAACCCCTCCAAATATTCCTCTAACGTTGTCCGTCCCTCTGCTGAATTCAACCCACAGATAGCTTGCATTGGGTTTAGGACAATTGGAGTTGGAAATGTATATAGCTCCAATTTAACGATGCCTCCTAATATTCAGTATTTGGATTATCTTAGTCATGTTCTTCAACGGAATTGTTTCAATTTCGATATTTAAAATAAAAATATTGTGAGAAAAATGTCAAATGTTAAATAATAGAAATTGTTGCATTTGTTATTAGCAAATTTGTAGTTAAAAGACTATGTCAGACTAATGTCAGAAAAAAACGACAGAATCTCTCCAAAATTGTATGTGTATGATAGGGAATTAATATATAAATTATTTTTACGTATCAACTTTTTGTTAGCGAATCTTGCAAGACTATATTCTTTAAATGTTTTTTTTTAGATTTTTCAATTTTATTCGACAAATTTGTGATAAATTTTCAATTTATTGGGGTTGCCACAATCAGCACAACTCCTAATAAAATTTAACAAAATAATGGTTATGGAAACTTTCACATGTTATCGGAAATGGACGAGAGTTTTTTTTAAATGATGATCTTCTCTATTCAAAAAATCACTGTTCTTGCGATTTATTACTTGATGTTACAATTTGTTTTTTTTTCCAATACATAGACACTGGGAATTTCAAATTGTTAAAAAATAAATTTAATGAAATGGCTTCGATCCTGAAATTAATTATTTATTTGAATCAATCAGTTAAAATAACGGCAATATCTTCAAGCTTGTTTTACTATTTATAGCTCGTGTAAGTAATCCATTAAAAAGGGTTTGTCATCAGGACTGTATGGTGTCAGTGGAACATCATACGGAAGAGGAAATGGTGGTATACCGTCTCTTACAGTGCCAAGTGGAAAAGTGTCCTCACCAATCTGAAAATATGTTATTACTATGTATAAATTCATTACTAATTGATATTTCGCTTACCACAAATCTCGGTAAAAAGAGTACGCCTGCTTCAAAATTAGCTATTCGCAAGCAGGCTTGAATACTTGAATTTTTATTAAATGAGCCCCATGCTGCCTTTGATAAGTTAGCTGATGTCAAAAGAAACCAGTATATAGATTTGTCTTCTAAATTGAATCTTGTATATGACTTAATATGTGGCATTGCGCGGGAACGATGACGAAGTTTAGATGTCCATTGATGTAAGTAGGACTTTAACCAAGGCTGTTTATCATTTGTATTTCTACTGTAGGGCAAACATCCACCTCCTAACATACCGTCGTGACTGGAACTCACGTTGCAAAAGCTGGGATATATCATTTTAAATTGAGGAAACTTACGGATTCCAAGAGGTTTACAATCTCGCCTCAAACTATTGAGAAAATCATTTTGTATCCAGGCTTGTACATTGGCTCCCAAACTTCCAATACTTGAGCTTTGACAGACCACAGGTACAGACTCATCAATTGGAGCGCAATGCTTTTGAAGTATACTACTAACGCGACCATGACCCCATGGATGCCCTCGAGGACCCTCTCTGTGCCCTCCTGGTACAGATCCAATAAAAAACACGCTGTTGAATTAAAAATACAAATTAGTTTTTAATAGCCCTAATGCATGTATATATGTACACGCTTTATGTTTAATAATGAAAATTGGTAATTGGGAGGTTATATTTTCACCCGCGAACGTTAATAAAAAATGCATATCATTTGCTTCTGAGCAATATGGCTATAGAGGTTATCATCATCGGATACGACCATAAGGTGCGTCATTGAAATAACGGTTTTAGACCCTAAGTCTGTTTGGATCAAATCTGTTTTAGAACATTTGATACGGCTAAAATGTGCAGCATCAAATAACGGTTTTAGACCCCGGGTCTCTTTGGGCTAAATCCGTTTCAAGACTTTTGGAGCCGATCTAAGGGTGCCGTCCGTCTTTCTGCGCAGGATAATTATAATAGACAATTATTTTTCTCATAGAAAGAGGGGGAGGGAATATTCGATTTGATCCTAACTTGGTACATCGTAATATTATTGTGGATCGAGTTCGGAGATGGGCAACATCGGTCTACTCCTTCTTGAACTCCCCCCCCCCACCAAAGGTCAACATTTTCAAAGATAATATTTATGTCATCAAAATTTACAAATCCTAATATTTTTGTTAGTGCCCATCGGCCCACACCACAAAGGGTCAGAATTTGGAATAATTATAACCCTTATAAAATGTGAAGTTGTTTTCAAATTCCACACAATATTTTTACTAACACAAGATCAGGTGTGAAGATGAGATAACCGGTCTACTCCTTCTGGTACCTCAAAGGGTCTAACAATAATTTTAACCCTTATAACATTTACGTTCAAAAAAAATTAATGTCGGATAAATTTGTATATTTTTCTGAGGACAGTCATGCCTGTTCAAATGTCCAGTACAGGGCAATAGAAAAAGGAAATATTGAAGTCATATCCGACACTGGTCTAATAAGATCCTAGCGCTAAAAACCTCAATGCTGTGGCAAATTGGAACAACTCTAGATTAGCAAAATCTCTTATATTTTTTGGACATTTTTTCCAGAGGTAGGTATTTCTACCCTGATTCCGGGAAACCATTTTTTTCTTGACTATATAGACAATATAGGTATCAACAAGTGGTCATATGACTACCTAAGGCCGGCTTTAGTTCGCGTAACCATACTCAGAAGAGAATATCTCTGAATCCAGAAAAGGTATTAGCACAAATTGTAGCATTTTGGAAAGATAATTTGGCATCAATTTTGTAGATAAAAAAATCCGGGTCTAAAAAATCGATAATTTGACTATAACTTCGGAACCTCTTTAAATAACGTCATAAATTTATTGGATAAATATTTTCATAAGAAATTCCTACATTGTCTATATTGGGTAAGTGGATCCAGGTCTTGAAACCGGACTTTCGGGTCAAAAATCTGGGGTGCCGGGTCCGTTCCCGTAGTTTACCGGAATTAGTATGAAAATACCTATCACTTGAAGAGTTTGCGAAATTTCTATTAGCAAATGCTGAAAGCAGTTCTGTTCAGCAATTCAGAAGTAATTTAAAGGTCTAAAAGAACACATTAAGTACATATTTTAATTAAAATATGTACTTACATGGACTCAGGCAATGCAAACATGTTTGTTTGCTGCATTAGCACTCGCTGCTGCGAACCATTTTTTATCTTTTTTGTCAACAACCAGAAAGTGTGGCCAAATTCTTTTTAAACTGTCGATGTCGCTTCTATGCCTTACCGTAATACCACTTTTGAATCGAAGCGACTTGCACATAACGTCGACGACGACTAAAAAAACGGCAATCGTAGTTGGACCGAATATGTTTAAATTGTCAAAACAATTGGTAGAGTATGCCGATAAGCGGAAAACGGGCTGAAAAGCAGGCCAGATGCTTTACTTCCTGCTGGTTTGGAGACATATGCAGATTACATTATATTGTGTGACTCTTAGAAACGCAATATCTTGGGAATGGAACTAATTGGGAAGAAAGTCGTTATGACTATTGTTATAGAAAATTTTAGAATCTACAGCATTTTCACAGAACTTAATGTTTTTCCGGAAAATTTAGAAAAACTAAAAAAATGGACAGCGAATTTTCGAGCTACATATTTAAATTCAGCTTTGTGGATATATATATGCATCTTCACGCCTTTTTGTTGTGTCTATTTTGACTAGACTACAGCAGTTATGGTTGATTGCATTCGATATATGTTAGTTTTAATTTTGTCAACATGCCGACGTTTGGCTAAAGTGTTAATAAAACAGTGATTAAAGATCAATCCTAAAGTGATTAAAGATCAATCCAACAAAAAAATGAAATGAAAATAAAGCGCGTATATTCGGAAGGCTAAGCAAGACATGATTGAAGTCTAGACTTAAATAAAGCATTTAACAAAAGTAATTTGAAATATATGTAATTTCGGTAATTAAAGAACATTTCCGGCAAGTTAGCAGCCAAAATATAGTAGTCCGATGACAACAGTGCTGTCAATTTTAATTTCGACTTTTCATCCATATTTTTTTAATGTTACAGATATGTATCGGTAACAAAATAATAAATAAATAATTGGAGAATCCCACTACAGATGGCCTTACTGGCCGGCTAACAATTTGAAAACTACAATAACACCTATATAGAAATTTATATTGAATAAAGTATTTTAATTTCAAAAAATGTAGAATCAAATGAGCTAGGTTTTGCTTCTACCTTCTATTAATAGTATCACCTCTTGTACCGAGTTTTTGTGTTGTGCTTTGTTTTGATCGCTGCAGATTTTGGATTTTTATGAAGGATTTTTAATTCAAAACCGATATATTATTTTTAGAAAAACGTTTTTAAAAGGTTTGCCTCAAGTTATGCACGTATTAAAGTTTAAAATTTCTCCAGAGCTTTGTAAGCTTTTTTTCATGTCTAAGGTCCAATTTCAACATAAAGCCCCCATTCGGTTCTTGTTTTATTCATGACGTGCGACGCGAAATAATGGATGACACGACCAGTGTGCCAGGTGTCATTTATGCAACTCTAAACTTCCAGAGACAATAAAATCGTTTCACAGTGGTTGTTTTTTACTCCAAAACAGAATAACGGTATGAAAAGGATCGGACTAATATTGTTCCTTTTTGGACCCGATTATAATGCAGTATAAGTGTGGAGGTACAAGAAAGAGTATATCCCAAATAATATTTCCTTAATCCCCATAGAAATACTCAACTAATGTATCAACGATGATATTAGGTGCTGTTAAAATACGGGACCGACCGGTAATAAGTTTTTACAAAATGTACCCAGATCTTTATATCCAGCAACTAGCTATTTTACTCACAACGACAGTGGTACGCGATATGTCATCCCCAAAATAAGGTAAGCATTTTCTTCAAACGACTTGCCTAAATTTTAGTTATTTGAATCTAAGCGCCAAAAATGCCAGCGACTGTAAAACATCGAAATTAGAAGAACTACCCTATTCCGATATCAAACTCATAAAAATTGAGCAAAACACCACATCACAAAATAAATTTAGACTAAAAGCATTAAACTTTAATTTTTCTTACTTTATGGCACTGAAGTCTGTTCGTCGTATTCTTGCTATCCAGGGTTGAAGTTCAGCATATTTATATTCCACCAAATACAACATTAAATCCTGACGGAAATTTGTGGGACTTTCTCCTGCAGCGGTGTCTGCATCTTCTGCCAGTGGCTCTAATAAGGGACTTATCCACACACCCTGAGTGCGATTATGCCAGTCATCTTCGTATAAATTGGCTGTTGACACAACGACACGCATTGAACCATCCTGGTACGCCAATAACATCATCTTTGTATGAGAAGTAGAGAATGGCGTTGGCATTTTTACCTTAATTGCTTTAACTTTTGGTTTGTGCTTTGAAATAGTTTGCAATTCTGGTGTATCATCGCCATACAAGACAAGCAAGGGCGTATCCCTATATTTGTTGATAGTAATGATAATGTTATCAACGTATCGACTTGATAAACTTACAATATGCCTGCAAAGTAGTAGTGTCCCAATAACCAACCAATGTCCACCATGAAGTTTATCTGAACAGACTCTACAATAGTCCCCAAACTTTCGTCGAGAATCTCTGAAAATTTGTAATAAACGGTATATTAAGCAAAAACATTTGGCTTAACTCTAGTTTAGTAAAAACACTTCAATTTTTCGAAAATTTTTCCAGTGGTAGGTATTTTTACCCTGATCCCGGGAAACTATTTTTTTCTTGGGGACGAACCTGGGACCCCAGATTTTTGACCCGAAAGTTCGGGTTCAAGACCCCGACTAAACTAGAGTTGTTTTACTAAACTAGAGTTGTTCCAAACATTTTACAACTTACCTTGCAAAGTAATTGTCAAAGGTTCATTGTGAGTTGGTTTTGAGTCTGTAATAGCTGTTAGGAAGAAATTATACGGTGCCGCAGCTTCCAACTTTCTCGCCATTTGACCCTTCTCAACAACCACTGGCACATAATCCCTAATATTCTTAGTAATCTTTTGTTTCTTTGCCAAGTTAGAACTGCTTTCTATCTCAGATCGTGTGCCAGCATCAGAAGAGGTTGATGGTTTCGGAGAACTTGCTCTCTTTTCGGTTTTCATTCCATCTGATTTGCATTTTGTTTGTACATTTTTATTTTTGTGCTCCTTGGAATCTTTTGGATAAAGTTTCTCCAGCAATTTTAATTGTTGCAATATCACATCGGCATTTTGAGACAATTCGTCTGGTATAGTATATTCTTTAGATTCTGAATCCCATCCGCCGTGATATATATTATCCACTGCAAGAAAATAAATGTGATATTATAAAAAACATTCCAAACATTATCTACTCAACAGTGTGTATGAGAAAATTCACTGAAATGAATAGGATTTCGCCGATAACATTTTTCAGCATATGGACATTTCTTTAAATTTGTAAAATTTGACATCTTCTGGAAAATGAAAATTTAAATTGAAATATTTTTTTCGACTTTTTACAAAAGAATTTCGCTTACAAAAGGGTTTTCGTGCCTTTGATGTATGGTTGGTTGATTGTCGTCTCTCAAGCGTGGAAAACAAAAATGAAAAACGTCCCAACGAAACTAATATGAAGGCCACAAAGGAACACCCGATAAAAAATAAACAGAAAGCAATGACTCGAGGTACTCTGTTGTTTACGAATGAGACGTAAGGAAAATTGAACATCTTCACTAAAGGGCGCGGAACTAGTTGCTAGCAACACAAGTTGCAACACGGGGTGACGCAGAAGCTAAAGAACTCGTTCTGTGTACAAATTGTTCCTGGATGTTCATTGTTTATCATGGTAGAAGAATACATGTAGATGCTTCAAAGCTTGGGAAAATTTAAAATGTTTTGACAAAAACAAGTAGATTTTTTTAAGTTTTCTTACACGGCACAAAGCGGGGGTAGTTGCGATATGCATTTTCAAAAAATTTTAAAAATTTCAATAATTTTTCATTTAATATTTTCAATTCTAAAAATGGTTTGACAGTTCATTGTCCCAGCAGCTGTGTCGATGTGTATTCGATAGATAGATAACAAGCATGTACAGTGAATTTATAAATACGCATTTTGTTTGACCATATGTTTTCAAATGAATCATTTTGAAAAAAAAACTGTAAACATATTACTTTATCTACTTAATTGTCCCATGACATACCTATGGGGCTAATGTTTTATTCTCTGGCATATATCATATTTTCCCCTGCCCACATCAGAGCAAAATCTACAAAATATGACAACGAATGACATTAAATTAAAAAAAAAAAAACAACATTCAAATGTTTTTCTTCATAATTTGTATGCATTGTACAATTAAGAAGGTAACCTCATGCAGTCATATGCTTAATATATTTGACAATGAGATGTCCCCAACCGTTAATTCATATACTATATCATGATGGAAGAAGACGGGTAGATGCATCAACGCTTGGCAACATTGATATGTCAAAAATGTTAAAATGTTTTGTCAAAAATTAATTAATTCATATACTGTATCATGATGGAAGAAAACGGGTAGATGCATCAACGCTTGGCAACATTGATATGTCAAAAATTTTAAAATGTTTTGTCAAAAATAAATAGTTTTTATATGTTTTCTTATACGATTCAAATCGGAGGTTGTTATGATATGTATTCTTGAAAAAATGTCAAACTTTTTTAAATGTTTTTTTTTTTTTTTTCAAAAATAAGTAGATTTTTTATGTTTATAGGCAAATCGAATTGTTTTAATGCTGATTCAGATTTGGAGGGGTTACTCGCGTCAATTTGTACCGTTTTCTTTTAAGTTTGCCTCTTGCTACTATACAAAGCAATTTGTTTTCAGTAATTTATTTGTTCATCATTGCCGTTTTGTCTTTGTTATTTATATATTTGTATAAAAACAAAAAAGCTATTTTATTCTTATTATTCTCCATTTTCATTCCCCTTACCACTTTCGCCTTCCAACAGAAACTTACCGAAAGTAAACTTGCTTAATGTAAATTCAGACTTATTACCATTCTCTGTATTGGTATAAGAATGGCATAATTACAGAATGTAGAACAAACCTACCCCCAAAATAAAATTTTTGTCTTTTTGTGCCCTTATTCTGTCAAAACATATACATATTTTTGTGCATGTGTTTGCATGGTACAATGAATTCAAGGTAGGGCAGAACTACCATATGATTTAAATTTTTTTATTTTTCTGGCTTAATATGTCAGTTTCATTTGCTTATGTGTGCGTCTTCTTTTCAATAATAAAAAATTGTTCAGAAAATATTCAAATTCGGGTGTTTTCAAAATGCTTATTGCAACGAATGCATCGACAAAATCTACAATTTTTGTCCATAAGAGATATAGAACATGATATTGAAAAGAAATTTTGACCATTCATTCAGTTTTCGCGGTTTTAAATTATTTATTCAAAATCAATGCAACAAGTTGTTTGCTTTTTTATTGTTTTGATAGCAATTCTGACATTACAAGCCAAACAGGTAGACCTCTATACTTGCAATTTTTTCAAAGTTGACCTACCTTCTCTTCATTGTACCATGTGTGTGTATGGCTTGATTAAAAAATATAATAATGTAAAATTATTTCAAATTTGGGTGCAAAAAAATTCAAATTTTCAACAAAATGGGTTACAAATTGTATAATTTTCTGACAAATCTCTATTGTACTGCTATTTTAGATTTATTCTCGTAAAGAATGTAAAAGATTTTACAACTATAATGGAAAACAATTGTAAAAATTGTAGCTTCTGGAACAAAGCAAGAATGAAATGCTATGTTCCCATTGCACTCTCAATCACGTTGTTCGCTCTTAGAATTCGGTACACGAATAAACCCGTTCATACGGCACGATACGTAATTCATAGTAACATAATTCCTTTTTTTCAAAATTTTTATTTGTTGAATTTTATAGGAATTTGTACGAAAGTACATGAAATTAGTATTAATAATAATAGAAGAAATTATTTTTTACCCTTCTATTCGAGAAGTGAAGAAAACAGATGGAACAAAAATTTCTCTGATACCAAAAGGTATATCAAAAAGAAAAAAGAGAGAACTGTCTAATACAGAAAAAAAGAAAAAACAAAACACAAACAGTGAAGAACTGAACAAAATAGAAACAATGGAAGATGAAACATACAACAGCACCAGCTCATATGACCAGTGAATATCAAATTATACAATGGAATTGTAATGGATTTAACAATCATATAGATGACACCAAATTATTAATCTCAAATATTAATTGCCTAGCAATATGCATACAAGAATCAAAATTTAAATCAAATTATCACAAAAATATCAAAAATTTTAAATGTTTTTATAAAAACTTAAATACAACAAATACTGCTCATGGCGGTGTATGTATTTATGTAAATAATATGGTAGAAGCCTCTGAACTCCAACTCAATACTGATTTACAAGCAATAGCTATTAAAATTAGTTTTCCTATTAAATGTATATTATGCTCGATATATCTTCCAGGGTCGGAAACTTTATCTAAAAGCTCGCTAAATAATTTAATTAATCAATTCGATCTCCCTTACATGTTATTAGGAGATTTCAATTCTCATAATACCATGTGGGGATCTGAAAAAACCGATCAAAGAGGGAAAATCATATATGATTTTATAAATGAAAATGATATAAATTTAATGAATAATATAAATTGTCCAACCCATTTTAGTTTGGCTTATAAATCATTCAGTCACATTGATCTAAGCTTAATATCTCCACAAATTGCTCGATATTTTGAATGGACTGTATGCGACGATTTACACAACAGCGATCATTATCCTATACTTATAAAGTATAAAGATTTTTCTCCATCTTTACAACGTAGAGAAACTTGGAATATAAATAAAGCAAAATGGGACAATTTTCAATGCGAACTTAAGGGTTCTTTTAACGCATTTAATTCAATTAATGATTTAGAAGAACACATAGTCAATTCAATCATAGAATCTGCAAAAAATGCCATTCCCATAAAATCTTCCACTGTTAATAAACGGCAAGTACCATGGTGGAACCACAAAATAAAGACATTGATTAAGGAAAGAAGAAAACTTCTAAAAAAATTTAAAAATAATATGAATTCTGAGAATCTTGCAAATTACCTTAAAATGAAAGCAACAATTCGCAAAGAAATTCGCGCTAGCCGTAAAAAATCTTGGATTACATTTTGTGAAAGTATAAACCTTCGAACTTCGTCGTCAACAGTTTTCCGAAAAATTAGATCACTCAATGGATCCACCAACCATCAGCAAATAAACTTCCTCAAACACAATGACACATTAGTAACAAACCCAAAAGATATTGCAGACTTGTTTGCCAAACAATTTGCCAACAATTCTTCTTCTTCAAATTACTCTTCAAGTTTTATAGATTACTCAAAAACAAAGCAAATATCACTCAATTTTGACAATAATGGGGAACCATATAATTCAAAATTTTCTATGTTAGAATTAAAATCTGCTCTGAAAATGTGCAAAGGATCGTCTCCAGGTCCGGATAATATAAGATACGAAATGTTAAAAAAATTAAATGATATCTCTTTACAATATATTTTAGATTTCTATAACTTAATCTGGACAGAAAGAGTTTTTCCTGATAAATGGAGAAAAGCTCTTGTGATACCAGTGCTTAAACCAGGTAAAGACTCAGCAAAGCAAAATAATTATAGACCTATATCTCTCACAAACTGCCTATGTAAACTCTTGGAGAGAATGATAAATAGAAGACTAATATGGTATCTCGAAACAAAAAATATATTAAATATCAACCAATCTGCTTTCAGAAAGAATCGAGGTACTATTGATAATTTGGCTATATTACATTCTGACATAATGGAGAGCTTCTCTACCAAAAAAGATTTAGTAGCAGTATTTTTTGACCTTTGTAAAGCGTATGACTGCGTATGGAGAAAATTAATATTAGAAAAACTCAATCGCTCTGAAATAAAAGGAAATATGATTTCTTTTATTTCAAATTTCTTAACAAACAGAAAATTTTCTGTTCTTGTAGGAAATACGCACTCAAAAAGTTACTATCTAGAAAACGGAGTACCTCAGGGATCAATCCTTAGTGTAACCCTTTTCCTTTTAGCGATTGACTCTATATTTAATAATATCAAACCAAATGTAAAATCTCTATTATATGCCGATGACCTTGTTATCTATTCTTCAGGGAATAATATTTCCACAATAACAAAACATATTCAGTGTTCTATTAACAAGCTATTATCATGGAATAACAAAACTGGTTTTAAATTTAATGCCGAGAAAACTGTTGCTATTAAATTCTCAAGACGCAGAAAACAGAACGATATTAACATTTCTCTAAAATTGGATGATAATAATATACAATTTGTAAACAAACATAAATTTTTAGGTGTTATCTTTGATGAAAAACTTTCATTTCATCATCATATCCAACATATCAAGGCTAAAGCGAATTCAAAACTAAGTATTATAAAGATGTTAAGATGTACAAAATTTGGATCTGATCAACAATCACTCTTAAAAATATTAAATTCAATAGTTCTGCCGACAATTGACTATGCTTCAATAATCTACAATTCAGCTTCGAGCAGTCGACTAAAAACTCTTGACACTATATTAAATACAGGTATAAGACTTTC